CTAGGGATAAGGGGCCAGTTGGTGAAAGAGGAAAGAGCCGGACCGGACGGGAAGGGTAGGAGATCGGATCCCGGTGAAAGACTCACTGAGAACCGACCCCCCTCCCCCACCGGCTAGATGAGATTCTCAACCGAAGGTTGAGAAGTAAATTAGCAGATTCTCAACCGAAGGTTGAGAGGAAGCCCGCAGGACTGCCTGTGATAAAAGAATAATTATTTATTGAAAATTTAACTAAGTTTTTATGAAAAATTTGGGCATAGCTTCGCCTTTTCCTTTATTCAGATTCGTCTGTCCCCACCCGACTTCCTTTCCTGGAAGTTCCCTTGTTACTCTTCCTTCTATGGAAGTTCTCTTGTTACCCTCAGTTAACATCTCTCTCTATCTCTCATTACTTGTCCATCTTATATATAACTCATCATTTCATTGTTTTGTCTTCATTTTCCAATATCTCACAAACCATCCAAAGATTTTCTAGAAAGATCGTCTTGCATAGACGTCTTCATAATTTCACGAAAAAGATAATCAAAGAAGGTTCCAGCCAGGTTTCACACAGGGACAGCTTCATATCAAAAATAGGAGAAAAAGGTAACGAAACTTCGAACAGCTCTCCGACTCTTGTAGCGAAAGACCGTATTAGACTTCAAACTCATTTTTCTTCCTCCAACTTAAGGCGAAAGGGCGAGTACGGGATTATACAATCTCTCACATAACAGTCAACTACGAAGAACTGATGAAAAACGTGCTAATGTTACCAATAAGAATATCCAACTAACTAATTTCATTTAGAAACACAAATATCTAAATTTCGAAAAAATGGAAACAAAACTTCGAACAGATCTGCCAGACTCGCGAATCGAACCGAAAGATCATGTTTGATTACAAACTCAATTCTCTTCCTCCAACTTAGGGCGAAAGGACGAGTACGGGATCTCTCACATAACAGTTAACTACGAAGAACTGATGGAAAGCGTGCTAATGTTACTAATGAGAATGCTCAACTATGACCAATTTCTCAGCAAAGAAACAGATTCGACAGAGCGAGAAGTTGTTTTTCAAAACCCGCTCGGAATAAACTTCACGAAATACTTCTACTATCACGAAAACAAAAGAAGAAATGAAACCTGCGCAACACACTAACACAACCTCAAACCAAAACCAAAGGAATTCTTTCGATTTGATAGCATATGCAGTAATCATTAAACTAAAGCAAAAAAATTTAGCGATTGGATCAAACAACCTCTCCTGGAACAGTTACGCAGGGAGAATGACCAAAAAAGAGGGCGGGGCCTAACGGATACTACAAACTATCAAGAACTCTGACTTCAATGCTAAACTACAACCATACTATAAGGAAAAAAAAAGAATGTGAATTTGTCAAAACCTCAGCGTGTTCAATACGATGTTCCTGATTGAATAGGTAGAAATAGGAGGAGGTGAGTTTCACATTGATCCAGTCGTAACATGAAGAAGCAACAGATGAAGCTATGACGCCTTTTCTGACGAGTTTTAACTTGATGCAAAATCACTGAACGTACAATAGATGGCATAGTGGCTCCCGGAAAAAAGATAAAAATCAATAAAAGTACATCGATCAGCAATAAAAACAACATGTTTTGGTATAAAACTCACAAACACCGACTTAGTTTTTGACATTTAGTTCTGATTGAAACCACGTGATGAATCGTTTTTTCAATGCAGATAGAACTTGAGCTCTGTCCACGTGGAGAACGACCGTTGCGGGTTTTTTTTCACGCAAAAAGTATTTGCGTGAGCGTGGTCGCTGCTCATTGATTATATGATTTCCACAGGACCAGGTTGTATTCATCGTACAGAAGGGTTGCATTCATCGTACAGAAAGGTTGCATTCATCGTACAGAAGGATTTCATTCATCGTACAGAAGGATTTCATTCAAAACACCATACAGTTCGTACTGGCAAGCGATTCATTGCGTCTATTTACCCGTATAATTTGAGGAGAATCTGAAAGACCCTTTGGTTCGTGTTAAGGTGTTGTTAATTTGGTACCTCAGGTAGTTTATACATTGATAGATAGTAGGCTCTATATTGAAACTTGCTGTCGCACTGTGACGCTGAACTCAGGACAAAGTGAAAGCCTTATCTATACCCGAAAATAGCATCAAAGAACCTTCCCTGGAAAGAGTGTGCTCGTTTGACTTAGCTTCGAATGTGTCTGCAATCTTCCATTTGCTGTTTTGAACTTCGAAGGAGAGAGCTTGTGTGCTCGTGTCTCTAGCCGTCTACTAATTTCTTTAGTGTTGTTCCTCAGTTCTTTAATTCATATTCAGAAAGCTTCACTTCCCTCACATTACGAGCCCAGTTGTTGCAGTGATCCCAGTTACAAGGAAAGAAACGTAGAAATATTCTTGTTTTTATTGATTTTCGTATTAATACTGAGCTAATCATCATTCTTGTCCTGCAGTTAAGATTAAGAATGAACAATATAAATCTTTAAAAATAAATATCTGGATGATGGTCATCTTCATTTGTTCTGCTTCTTCTTCAGTGATTCGAAGACTTTCTTCTGGCACTCATTACCCCACACGGAGCGGATGACTTCTGAAGTTGGAATGAGTAATTGGTAGGAAAAGTATAAGCTAACTGTCTTCTTCTGAGAACCCTTGTTTGACTGCAGACAACATTGCTTTCTGAGCTCTTGTGACGTATGGATACTGGTGGACATATGCTTTTATAATTTCCTTGAACATCAAACAGATAATTGAAAGTTTGTAACTTGAAGTAAACCTCAGCTTCCTCCTCGTTCTCATAAACTTCATCGACATACCCGATACGTTTAGCCTCTTGTGCATCTGAAACATGCAATTGGCAATCAGAGGTATGAAATATATGCTTCCTACTGATTATTTCAGCTTTTGCCATCAACTTCAACGCAGTAGAACGCCCAACGATATCTGCTATCCAGGTAGCTCCACCCCACGATGGAGTGATTCCTATCTTGGAATAAATGAATCCTATCTAGAATCCCGATATGTACTTGGAAGAATGAAAAGATGGAGAACAGTACCTTAGAATCCTTATGTGCGATTCTAATATCACAAGCATTTGCAATCTCTGTTCCACCTCCTAAGCAATGACCATGTAACTTTCCTATCACTATCTGAGGCGATTCACGTAACCCTGTCAGAACAGATGACATGTATTCATAAAGATGAGAACCCATTTCAGATGAACTGAGCTACAAACAACCGTTAGAGGGCATATACGAGTTCCAAACGAACTTCATCTATCATCCCTAAATCTGCACCACTACAAAATGATTTTCCAACACCTTCAACAACGACAATACTAGATTGAGGCAAGAAGTTAGGTAAATCCTAGAAAACGAGCAGATCATGCGAAATATTCCAACAACTCTACAAACCTTCACAGCCTTTCCTAGCTGCAAAGCCATTTCACCCGAAATACAATTGAACTTGTCTGGACGGTCAAGCACAAGCCTATTAACTGGCCCTTCTCCGGTGATAGAAACATTGCCACCTTTCCAATGTTCTAACACCTTCAGCAATTCTTGTGAAGGGGCTTTAACACTGAAGTGTCTCCTAGTGAGAAAAGGTATGACTGACAGTCTCAAAGTCATAATTGCTAGTACTACAGTCGTTACCTTAAAGCAATTAAGAAGTAAAAGCAGAAGACGGACTGACAACTAAAATCGATAGGAACCTGATAGAGACAAAGAAGGGAAAGCACGAAGGAACAGCAGAGATGTAAGAAAAACTTTATTGCGGAACTAAAACATCACAATCTATATCATAAATACATGCTTTGAATATTATTTGATTTTGGAAATATTTGTGTTGTTCTTCCGATTTACCGACGAACACTGATCGGATGTCACAAAGCCAGATAAGGGGATGAAAGGGAAACAATGAAAAGTGGCTTAAATCTTTAAAAATCCAAATAAATACAAAAACTGGACAACCATTGCAAGTGAGACAGACGTAAAGGATTAGGAATAAATAAAATCTATATGTTTATGCGAAATTATTTCGAGTTAAAAAAGTTTTGAAAAAAAAAACAAAAATTGACTGAGATTAGAGACTAAAAAGGAATTATGCGAATATTACTTATACAAGCAGGCAAATAAATTAACTAAAACGATATTGGAATTCTACGGGTTCTCTTACTTATTCAACACGGCGATTTCCTTTTTAGAATCCACCGAAGGGATCTTTGGGTTGTGCCATCGGCTGAAACATACTCACATTAGTCTTTCAACAACTCTGATTGTTATGTTAGTCTGTGAGACAATGAAACTTACTGCTTGTGCTGCTTGTGGAGCTGGCTGAGCAGCCATTCCGTAATTCATTTGTGGTTGAACTCCTCCATAACTCATTTGGGTAGGCATACCATAGGCTTGTTGAGCTGGTGCTGCATACATGGCTGAAACAGATATCAGTAAGTACATGGGTCGTGATGTAAAGACACTTACGTGCTCCTTGTTGTTGCATGCCCCAATGCATTTGGTTTGGCATTCCATAGGGCTGAGGAGGTCCATATGGATTTCCATAAGTTTGTTGTACATATGGACCGTTAGGAGGAGCGGAAGTATAAGCTGGAAGGGTTGGCTGACTAGTAGCTGGTGGAGGTGGGCGAGCTGGTGGGGCACTGGTAGCACTCCATTGTACAGGTTGGCTGAAAAGAGAAACAATAAGAAACTATCAATAGATGAAGATGCTCACTTAGGTTGAGCTTTGTTGCTACTAATCGATAAATTATCAGCTAAGCTGGAAAGAGCCAAGTCTATATCTCCACCCATTTTGGCTTGGTTAGTATTGAAAACATCGAATGAGCCTTAAAATACTCATTAGGAAGAGATTTAGAGTTTAAAAATATAGAGAGGATGCCCGAGTCTACAAGTAACACAACACAACACATTACAACACAACACTTAGGAAATGTAATTCAACCTTGTTGTTGAGGATGTTGTGGAATTCCTGGAAAAGTAAAATTTACATTCGATTCATGTTCAAGCTCAAACCTTGGCCTTGATGGGCTGGTGATTGTTCGTTACTGCTGCTGTTCTCATGCATTACATGGCTTGGAACATTTGGCTGAGCAGTATAACTGTGGTCTAAGTGAGCTGAAAGAGAAACCGTCAGTTATTGTAACTAAAACAATGATCTTACAAAAAGGAGTTTGTTCATAGATTCCCAAGTGTTGAGCCTGGCCAGGTATACCGATAGGCACACTTGGTGCGTACTCCTGACTTGGGGGAGCTCCATACTCTATAGAAATCAAATTAGAGAGGATCTAAGTTGAAAAACTACCTGGGGGTGATTGAGTGTATCCCCCAGTGAATGGATTGGCAGCAGGAACATGTTGCTGTTGCTGTTGCTGTTGCTGTTGCTGTTGTACTTGGTCAAAGTTTGGTTGCCATTGCTCAGGAGGAGCTTCTCCCGAAGGCACTCCACCTTCAGCCAAGAAGGGGTTTGTGTCACCTTGTTGTTGAATGACTCAAAACAAACAAGATAGAGAAAGGTTGAAAAGATAAACAAAGACAGACACAACTACGGTCAAGATCAAGCAACAACACAGAAACGAAAACAAGCTGAAAAGAGTAAAGAACATGTCCCATCAACAAGTTGAAGAAGGCTCGTAATAACACAACTAATACAGTTTACAATGTAATACGACAAAACACTCGAAGCATCAGACATCCTCATCATATTTTTCAAATTATAACCCTTACCTGTTCCATTGACTGGCTTGCTTGGTGCTTGAGCAGAGAAAGCTCTGTTGAAATCAGCATTGAATCCATTATGCGAAACAATGGGAGTTGGAGCAACTGCAGGCATCATTGATTGTCCATATGGCAAAGACACTACAACATTCACTAACACAATACTTCAAGTGATCACTAAGTATACATGACCAAACATGCACACCATCATCATTCTAATCATCAAAACAATTACCTGTGCTATTCATTCCTAGAGGCGCATATGCAGGAGCAACGGATGGTACAGAAGTAAATTGAGCGAATGGATTAGTAGAGTCTGCTGCAGACACAGTTGCTGGCTGAAACTAACAAAATTTCCATTAAGCACTGCCATTCATATATACCTGAACTGGGGTGTTAAAGAAATCGAGAAGATCATTATTCTTCTCAGGAAGAGCTCCAGCTCCATTCACTGCTGCAGCATCAGCAGCGAAGGGGTTGAATTGCGAAGCACTTCCTTGTTGGCGCTTTTGCTCTTCGAACTGTCGAAGACGCTCTTTCTCAAGCTCAATATAGCGCTGTCTTTCATTTTCATTAACAGGAGCTTGTGGCTAGAAACACATGAATTATACAGTTTTTGGAAAGATGGTGAAGTACCTGGAACCCGCCAGCGATAGAGAAGCTATTAACCTGGTTCTGATATTGAATGTTCTTAAAATGAACGATAAGAGCTGTCATATTTCACACAAGCTTACTTGTTGTGGAACAGCAGGAGCTCGACCACCTTCAAGGTGAATGAGATGAGCTTCCAAAGCTTCAAGAAGACTAGCAGGAGCTCTAGTGAGATCAGGAATTTCACCCTTATCAATGCCAACAGACTCAGCAACTCTCAGGAAATCAGAGACTTTATCTAATCTCGTCTGGAAAAGCAGAATTGATAAATGAAAAGAAGAAGAGAACAAACCAAGAATCCCTTGTACGTATCTAAAGCTTCTCGGCATTGTTTCTTATTCATATCGAAGTATTTTTCGAGAAGATTTATGATACCTAAGAGAGGCGAGGATATAAATAGAATTGAAGAGACACATGTCATTACCATCATTATAACAGGCAAAAAGACGGATGAGGTCTCGGAATAGAAGAATGAAGGAACAGTTAATGACTCCATTGTTGAGTTCACTCGATGAAACCTGAAAAGAAAGAATCAAAAACATGAATTTGGAGTCATTGCTGTCTCACTTGGAACTCCAGTAAAGCATCGATTTGATTTTGGAGAATTGGCAAAGTTTTCAATAACTAGAAAGCACTATAATTAATCTAATCATTAATGACGACAAGATACCTTATCAGTATGCATAGTACGAAGAAGGCCATCTTCACGGCCTCTCTTAACTTTACAGAAATCAAAAGCACAGACACGGTATGTGGCTATCTTTTCGCCAATATACTTTCCGTATCTGCGGACATGCTGTGACATATCATATCCTGCAATGTTCATGAATTATACATCATCTTCACATGCTCACGATGAATACTCAGAAAACGGGTAGGTTAATGAGATTGTTAAGCATTCTAATGATGCAGGGACATGCAAGTTAAAATCAAACGCATACCTGGATACCATCCTCCTTGATTCTGATCTATGTGATAGTTGTAACTACTGTTGTCACGACGCATGCCTACACACAACACAATCATGCACAATCACAACGATTAGTAGAAAAAAATAAAAAATGATGAGAAACACTCTGAGAAAGAGCATTCGTCGCATATCCTTCTTCCCACCACAATAGCGAGTATGTTAAAGTTAGAAAAACAAAAAGCTATAAGCCACATGCTAGCATTCTAATACTACGGCTTCATCAATGAGAATGTTAAAAGTTGTTAGATGCATTTCATAATTCTGATGAAAACTAACCAGCAGTACTGTTCTTATCCAAAAAATTGCCTAAATTGAATGTGGTATTGCACGATGCCAAGTATTGAGAGAATCTCTGAAACCACGGAAGTTAGTCTACTCATCTTCTGCTGCTCTATGTTATACCTCATTTCCATAACACATTATGTTGTGAATTGTGATTAAAGCTTTATATACAACTGTCCAACTGGGATGTTGTGTTCTGAACACTAACAGTTAAGCACCTGAACGACTAGTCACCTCTCAATCAATAAGTTCGCCATAGATGGAATGGATACATTAGGTTCATTTGTACAGTGCAAGAGATCTGAGCATGAGAATACGTGTTAAAGTCAAATGATGACAAACTTACAGTCTAAATGTTTCTTCTTTGGGGCCATGAGCTCTTCAGTAGTAGCTTTACATATTGTCTTGCCTAACTGACTTCCGGCTAGGGAATGTTTAGCTGCAGTTAGCCTAAACATCCGAATGAGTTTCAGAGGAATATATTGAAAATATTAGGAACCTGAATGGCATAGCCTTTCGCATATGACGTTGTGCGTGTTGCTACACAGAAAAGAATGTTTGATAAATGTGATAAGACGGTGATAAAGCGGAAGATGAACATTCATAGTGTGGCAACACACACGCGCGCACGCTCTTTTTCAATACTAACTTCTTATTCATAAACAAATATTTCTATTCACAAGTTTGTACACAAAAGAATAAGTTCAAATGTTAAGATTGGAAGACGACGTTACCTGTCTGAGATGGTCTGCCCTCCAGTAGTGAAGGGCATAGGCTGATGTAATGCTTTCTCTATGGTTTGCATCTTGTCACAGCTAGTATGACCAAGTTGATAAAAGCTGCAAAGAGTTATATGAAATTCATGATGACTTTGTAAAAAACACTTAATAAAGGATGCAAAGAACGAGATGATAAGAGCTTCAACGTTTACGTGATCACGTATTCCACGCGCGAGGGTGGATGAATGCTACTACTCGCGCCCGCAAAAAAAATCATTACTAGTTTGAAACAGACCAGGAAGCGGTTGATTTGAAACGTTTACATGTTGACCGCTCTTTTCATTTTTTGAATTTAAGATTATCGACGGGAGCGAAGAAACAAACGAAAGAAATGATAAAAATTAGACAGAAATAAATATCCGTAAGACTTTTATCTTTTTTTTTTTTGTTAGAAAAATAATTAGAATCGATAAGCCATGAACTCTACACGTTCAATGCGGAGAGTTTCGGCTGCCGACATAAGGAAAAACAGAACAACATCTAATATTTATACAGATGACTCATTGGGAGAGAAAAAAACTTAGTTCGCAGAGAAACTTTTTCTTCAAAGTTCGCAGCACTACGCGCTACCGGCATTGACACTACTAACACTGGTCTGGTGCACTCATTCTATCAATTCTTTCTTTTTTTTGACAGAAAGATAGTTGCGACATACATTTCGTAGCGGAAAAATGATATTTGTGAATATTTCATTTAATAACACAAATGGCTAATATCACACTACATATATATAGATACTTTTAAATTAGAAAATGTGAAAAGCTTTCATGACAAGCAGCTGCGGCTTCTATCCTATGTTTCTAGAAGGAAATATCCGACATCAGCATTGTCGTCATACTAAGAATGCATTGACCATCGTCATATCGTCAAACGACAGCTTTGACGGCGGATGGATAGATAGGAAAAGCCAGATTGATGTACGATATATGAGAGATGACGAGAAATAATTTCTTATTATGTACACATATAGGAACATCTAGCGTATATGCGCTCTAAGATGCGAAAACAAAAAGTTTGAGAAAGAAATTATGTTTCAAGCTTCTTGAAGAACCTTAATTGAACGTTGGAGGCCTAGAAAAAAACCTAAGAAAAGGAAGAAGGAGCAAGACGTAGAGAGAGAGAGAGAAAGATAAAGCTGTCGAAACACACACACAAACAGGGAGGGACTCTCGTTCGATCGCAGCAGCATATTCACTCGTTGTCGGGAGCGGCTCGACGAGCGCACATATTGACGGCGCAGCTAGAGGCACGAGATCGATGGGTAACTAGGCACTAGCATATCGCGCCAGTATTCAATAGGAACCTGGTTTCTTCCCAGAATGGCAGTCGGAAAATGCTCTTTCTTTCTTGCGAAAATATAAGAACATCCGAAGAAAGAGAAGCAGAAGGACAGAAGGAGAGAAGTGATAGAGAATGAGAAAAAGTGGAGCTTAGAAGGCCTTATATGTGACTATGGATATAAGATTGATCAATTCAGCTAACTTAGTATCCATTGTCTTGCTTAAGGGCAGAGATGAATCTTTATGAGAAAATAGGATAAAAAGATGCTTTTAAGGCTTATTAGCAGACGGCTTAATGAGTATTTGCCTCTGTTTCAGACAACAATTAGCAATAGAGCACGTTATGTGCATTTTGCTTTACGTATGTCAGAATCTTTGTGAACAAACGCAGGTTCCGGGGCAAGCGCGCTGAACGAGAATGGAAAAAAAAGCAAAAACATTTCATGTTTTGAGAGAAATGATAATTATAAAAATAATGACGAAGACACGAACTAAAAGATCATTGGAATAGTCTTGATGAGCCGAATGTCTTTAACGTTAATACCCTTAAAAGAATAATCGATCGAGCGGGAGATCGCAAAGTACGAAAAAAAGGTTCGATTCATTGACAACATTAAAGGAAGTATATGAAACTTTTTTGATCAGTCTTTCGAGGAACAATGAGTGAAAGAGGGAGGTAGAAAGATAGAGAGAGAGGGAAGGAACAAGAGAGAGGGCGGGTGGGGATATCGAAGAAGTTTTCCGAAGCCAGATGGATGCAAGCAAAAGCCCAAACATCGTTTATTCCAAAACGGAAAAAAGAAAAGGGAGCCAAGCATGAATACATGATAAACTGAGTGATAAAAGTTTAAAGAAAAAAGTGGAAAAACAGCCATAAAAAAGCTATATATGGTCCTTAGTTAGGAGGAGGCTTTGTAGGAGAGAAGAGTATGAGTTGAAAAGGAAAAATGAGGAGGAAAAAAAAAGAAAGATGGGAAGAGAGTAAGGAACAAGATGAAGGAGGAGCGAATAGTTGAGCAGAAAAAGATAGAAAGAACAATACGAGGACATTTAAACGAATAAGAGACGCAGAGTAGAAAATCTATAGCAGTACGGGAAATGGGGCAACTACCAACCGACGATTGCAAGCAGCAAACTAACCGATGTGAGGCCAGCGCCAGGCATGCAGGGCCTCCGGCCGTCCGCAGACCTTGACGGCAGCCGTGTTTGAGTGATGAAGTTGAGTTAGCACGCGAGAATAGGCTACGAGCTTCGGCAGCTCATATCAAATATCAATCTAATAAACAAATTGAATGAATGGTTTATTCTTCGTTCATTCGTAAACAATTCCGAATTCGGAATGCTGCATTGGAATTTTCAAAGGATCACAGGTAACTTTATGGCAATTGAGATTTCTTGGATTAGCATATGAAAGGCCCCGTCGTGTGTAGGTTCATCTAATCATCAGGATAAGTGTCTCGTAAGCGAGGACGGAGAACGTATCTGCGATTAAGACATTAGAGTGATCGTACGATTGTGAATTACTTTTTCAACTTTTCGTCATAACGCTCTGCATATCGCGAGATCAAATGATGGTGAATGCGGCCTTCACTCAAGACCAAACTCATCTGCAAGCTATCAGATGAGATGAACTTTCCTGGAAGTAACCTGAGGCGAATATCCCATTTCCGGTTGCAAACGATCTTTTCCATCTATTAATATAGCATAATGAGGCCCATCCTGCCATTCCTAAATGGGGAGGAACTGCAATGAGATGAGTCCAAACAGTTTATACCTCGGACTGCTTCAAAGCATCCATAAACTCAGGCGGAGCATGAGCGCGAAGATCCCAACCAATTACCAGCCCACGATATTTCCGCAGCTAAATGGTTAATGAGCGTTTGATATTTTCAGAAGAAAACAATCGTCACTTTATTGTAAACAACATCTCCAATTCGAAATTTCATATCAGATGTTCGCTGTCGAACCTTCTTCGAAGCTGAAAAATAACAATCTCAAGGAAGACTTAGAAGGGAACAAATACAGGCATAATACTCTTTTTCGGCATTAGCCTCTTCAGGTAAAAATCGATGATGAGCAAATAATTTCTGGCGCTGTTCAGCCCCAGGTGGTTGGTACCCATAGTCTTTGAGGAAATCGAGAATACGATCAGTTAATCTAAAAGAATAACAACATATCAAACTCATAGACTCACATTTGCAAGTGATATTTAATATCTGACGTAGCAGAAGGAGAAAGTAGTAATTGTAATGGAAATGACACCAAAATAACACCGAGGATTACGATAGGTTGCAATTCGGGCATTTCATTAAGCCTTAAATCATACAAAGCCATCAAGTGATTCGCATAACTTTCATAAAAAGTAAACAAATAAGCGAAATCGCATATTCACACATATAGACATATACGCTGTTGTTTCATTAAGATTCATTTATTTTCTCATGCAAAAGTGCTGTGTCAGCTTACCTTTCGAACTGGCCAACCTGTCGCATCGGACTGCAAATAGAGCATTTGATAATCCCAAATTAGGTTGAAACTTACGAAACGGCATCATGCTACATCTTCTATGCGTTCATGGATCTTTAGAAGAAAGAATCAGTGAGTGCAAGAGAGAGAGAGAGAGAGAGAGAGAAAAAGAGAGTCAAATGGTTTCATCATACATATTGTGAACTCGTGAGAGAAGGCTGATTGTCTTTATGACTGTGAGGATTCGTTTGTGTTTTCATTTTTCCAGGAAATAATTGGTGGAGAGAAGTTAAAAATCTAAAAAGATTGAATTTTACTTGCATACAATCCCAATCAACATTTCAACAATGCAGTTTTTAGAGAATAAATTAATGTAACATGTGGAGCAAGAGCTAACCCAATACAAGCTTGAACGCGATCACAACAAGATTTATAGCGATTAACGGCACTGAAAAATCGAATTATTAGTTTAAATATCTGGAAACTCTGTTTGTCTTTTGGGACTCACTTCTCATCACAGTTTGTACGGCTAAAATTAAATTTATCAATTGTGTCTTCACAGTAGGCTGACTATCGAATGAATGTACGGGGGCAGCTAAGCCGTACTGAAATGGAAATGGGATGACACGTCTGCTATTCAATACTAACCTTTTTCAAGAAACGGTCACGATGAAGGACCGCGATTCCATTAAGGATTAGAAGAGCGGCTTCAAGCAACCCATAAAAGGATAACACCATCTAGAAGAGATCATGATGATCAGTAGAGCAATGATATTGATGTTGATAAGTATGGGACGAAACCTAATGAACGTTTCAAACGCTACATGGACATACAAAGACAATATAACTAGTTTATAGATACATGTATGTATAAATATATATATATCTTCAGCTCTTTTCAAGCAACAACAAATACCGAAGGATAAAGGACTAAAAGAACATTTCATACCAGTATGACAACAAAGCAAAAACTAACAATTGAGACTTAACCGTATATCGCAGAAACTAAAGCATTCTTGAACTAGATGAGCATTGTGAAAGGCAGAAAAAGAGAGATCTTGTGAGAGAACTGGGAACGTATGAAGCTAAAGTCTAACAGTTCTAGATTGAGCAGCAGCTTTTCGAGCTTTTACATGGCAAGCAATACAAAACCGTTTCCCTGACAAGCATTGAGTATGATACAAATGACCTGAACAGCATGAATAAACGACAATCCCTTTATCAACACTTACCACAACTAAAAGAGCTAACAGTGTACTCCAAAGCATAGTTTTCGAGCTGAAGAGGTAACGTGCAGATTAGACACATTCTGAAAATCAGATTAATTGAAAACAGACAATTCATGATAACGCACTTCTTGGGATGGACAATCCAACTGTATATGGGAGCAGGTGCATTATGCATTAGACTCCTACGAGGGGACGTCACAGGGGAACTATCCACTGTTAGAATACCATCCAAACCTAGTCTTGTTATCACGTCAGATATAGTCTAAAGAGTTCGACGTGAAAACTGAGAGAATAAATGTGACAACATACAGTTTGTTTAACCAAACGATGTCGTGTGACATTTTCCCGAACGATAAGCGTTACCAACGAACTCCAACAACTAGGGTTCATCGCAGATTTCAACTGAGGGAGTTGACGAGCAAGCTTTAGAAATTCACTGGTCCCTATCACAGCACAGCACATGGAAATCAACTGCAAGAATGAAATATTGAGAACAAAACTATTTGTATTTCTCTTACTGCTCTCATATCAATTATCGAAACCCAGTCGAACAGAGGATACTCTTTAGTGTCCAATAGATCAATCTCTTCGACAGAGCTTGGACCATTAGCTACGATAGTTGTTTCTAAAACAACAGAACATCTATCATAAACACGAGGACGAGTCTACCTTGTTTACTAGAAGCTGCACTAGACCCAGTATCCTTTCTACTTACGCTTCCGGGACATAAGATTTTCATGAGTCGGCTTTCATCTCCACCCAGTATCCTTTCTTTCAAAGTTTCACCGGATATTTTAGGTCTATTTGAGGACATCAACAAATGTTCACTCGCTACAAACGTTATTTGATGAAAAGGTTTTGATTAACTGGCATACCTGGAATTTTCTTGGAAGTTTCAATACAAACTTCACATTTCGGACAAATGGTAGCTGATGTTTTAGAGAGATGTTTCTTGAACACAATCTTCCATTGCTCAAAATTGAAAGGTACAGCACCATTTTCAAACAAATCTTCTTCCATTCTGACTCTCTTACAAACAGATGAAAGTAAAGACACAGCAATCCATGACCTAACAACAACTGATTCGAAAAACACTTAAATTTGAGAAACTTACTTATGAATCCCACATTCGGAGCAACGTAAACATCCATTCGTATTGTCGATCATAACTTCACGACTAGAAGCATGTTCTACCAGGGCAGGCTCAGGAGAAAGAGCGACAGCTTGTTCTAATATATTGCAGTTGGATGAAGTAAACAAAACGTCATAGCTACCTTCGACGTTTTTTAAATGTTGCAAGCGATTATGAAGCCAATCTCCTTCCATTATCTCCACTTCATTGTTTTCATGGTCGTTAGTTATATCGATATTCATGACCACTTCCTTTTTTGAGATAACACAATTAGAATTAGGTTCTATGTGGGGAGATGCCGCAAACTGAGCCAGAACTTCGATGAAAAGAAATAAATTTAAATGACTCACCGACTCCACTGCAACATTTTGAATCGCTGATTTCCGAGAAAATCCAGTCTTTTTAATCTGCAAATTTTAGTTTACACAACATTGAATCAATATTATCATTATCAATGCCTGCCTCGGGGGCTTTGTTTTTAAATCGATAAGTCGGAAATGAAATGGATATGCGCAGTGGGAAAAGCCTTACTTGGTTAGGTCTGATTGGTTTGACAATCGTCGGTCCGGATCTTTTAATTCTACCCACGCTCACTTTGCGATCAACAGTGACACGTGGCAAATCAACACGGGGAGATATGGATAGCTCGGCTAGTGTTCTCGCTACGTTCGCTGTTGTCACCTAGAAAGAGATTAATGGTTCATAATGTAATACTCGGGGGAAATTAACCGTTGGAACGAATCGTAGGATATCATTATTGGTTACTAGATCCAATTGAAGTAACACCCTTAACGAGTCAACTTCAGCAATTTGTCCATCAGTCTCCTGCAACATATACTTCAATTATTGCATATAAGCGAGAGTAAACAAGATTTCATTCAATTACATGAAAATTACTGAATTAGTTTCTTTCCACAACTAGAATATTTGTTTTTGATGACATGAATTTTGTGGGAAAGTTTTTTTTTCTGATTTTTTACACTCTACTTCTTTCCCCCATGTTAGGAGAAAAAGGATTTAGTACACTGAACAAGAGAGGAAGAAAAAGTGACGTACCAATATCTCTCTGGCTTTCGTCAATATGTCAGCACGAACGTTTTCAGAAGCTTCTGAGTTAGATAGCTGCACTTCATCGTTGGTAATAGGCATCGATGCTCGCTTTTGTAATAAAGCAGTTGATGAGCTATAATGTGATTCAGTTTAAAACAACATGATGAATAAAAAATACCCGTGATCGAAGTTCGGGCTGCTCACACTGCGTTCTCTCATTGAGGAAGGTAAAAATGAGCCGAAATGGTCGTCTGGTATATTAGATGAATGGACTCGGTAAATACCCGATGGTAAACGAGAGGAAGTAGGATAGCACTCATTCTCTGAGAAATGAAAAGAGATACTACAACTTGAAAATTGAACTCACTGTGTGGAAGATTATCATAAGCAGAAACTGCTCCAATTTTGCATAAATCGCGAAGTAAAGAGTTTCTAAGCTGTTTGTAATCATTCTCGTTCTTAATCGAGAATAGTTAGCCGATTTTCTGAAGATTTTTTTTACCTTTTTATTATATTTGGACAATCCTTCTATTATCTCAGTAATCAACGATTTTTCCCACACTGGCATTTCAATTGTATGAATAATCAATTGAGCAGCCTAACAATGAAGAATGAAAAGAGTTAACGGAACGTGCACAAACTTGAGAAAAACTATTCCTAGCTTTGAGCTTTTCAGCTGCTTTGGTTAAAGACAATAAGCTGAACTTCTTTAAGAATGTGGAACCAGAGAGAAGAACGAAAACATCAGAGCCAAAAACAGAAACATCAAGAATGTCTACAAAGTAACTCAATAAGACTGGATCAGTAAATGGATTTACCTTCGTGAATATCAGTCATCAGTACAACATGAGAACTATCAGGGTCTGCAACAATAAACTTTGAACCACAACATGTTAATGCTAGGCTTTTCCTGCAAAGCGGGGTTTCTCAAAAAAAATATTTTTGTGAACTAACGAATCACAGCTAATTCTATATAACAACCCAAAGTTTACATCCATATTAATTGCAGATTCTAACACACTATTCTCATCTTCTTTTTGTTGACCTGAAGACAAATTGACTTCATTCACTTCATCAATTACTACCTTCAAAAGATGATCGGAATGATATTGTACTGTATCGTGGTATAGAAGGAGAAAGTCGCAGCTGATGAGTTCTATTACAACAATAAAAAATATATATGCCAATATACACTAACCTGTATACAACTCCGACCGTATTACACTCCCACACTCTACCATTCGGTCTAGCAGCTACCACGAAATCTCCGCAAGACTGATCAGCTGAGTGCAAGAAGCAAGCTCCCATTTTTGAGTTTCTAGTTTTTTTGCCAACCTGAAATGACAATGCTAAATGCTTCAATGCTCAAAACGCTTACTTGTATGACAGTGTTATTTTCCAAATCATAAATATGACTAGCAGCTGTTGTAGATATAAGTAATAAGTTATTAGAGCTATTAGTATCCATTTGTATCACTTCGGCAGTCAGTTCGCAAAGGGTATCATGACTAGAACGGAAAACGGAACGACTCTAAACACAAATCGAATGAATTGATTATGATTGAAATGACTTACATCGAAGCGATGCAAATTGACTATCCCACTAGAATGACCGGCTATAAGATTTTTTGACTCTTTCGTCCAGCATAATGCCCCAACTTTGTCCGGCTTCCTGGCATCGCCAGGGACAGAATATATGATGGCGGATTTTTGCTCATTGGCCGTCAAGTTGATAACAGAAACTCGACCACTATCACTTCCTATGCCGATATACTGTTCATTAGAACTGACCACGATCTGAAAAAGATACTTTGCTGGAACTATTGAAGAATGAAAGCTACGGTATTGACTGGTCCATCTTTTATTAGAAAAATATCAACGGGTGGAAGTGCAGATCCAGTAACTCCAGATCTTTTTTGTCTATATCGAGAAAAAACATATATTGTGCCTGTTGTAGTGCCCAATACTAAATATCGTGTCGACGATGCAATGCATGTGAACTAAAAGAAAACAATAAACATTGAGCCAATGCTAAATACAAAAGCAACCGCTTTCAAGCAACAGCTGAGAAAAAATAAAATTTGAAATACGTTTCCACGTGGCGTGGCGGTAGCCGTAAACACACGTATGCTAATTTTTTTTTTAATTACCTTTATGCGTTTAGAAGAAGAGGTGGGAAAGTTAAGACCATCTAAAGAAGTTAATTCCACAAAAAGATGAGTTAGTGATTGGACTGTTCTATTATCTTCCAAGGTCATAGCTTGGATAACGGCGGACTAATCTTTTTCAACATCCGTGATTTCTGTAAAACGAAAACATTTTTACTTAATTTAAACGAATAAGTAGACAATTTAAAGCTGAGAAACGAGACAAGTTTGATCGAATTGATATATACGATTGGAGATAACATGTGTATGAATAGTTAATGAAAAGATATTAAAGCTGGTCGATTTCGAGGAACGTCTAAGGTTACGTTACACTCAATCCGTCGTAAGAACGGAGCTTGATCAAGCACCTCAAATACTTCAATACTAGTTAGAGCAGTCCTGTAAAGAGGGTAGCAAAAGCAATATTGACTATTGTAAACGAGTGCTAACCTTCCACACCATCCACCTATAGTTACAATATATTTCCCTAATAAACAAGTGGACACATGATTCTCGCGAGGCGTATTGAGAGCAATTGGCAGAATTTGAGTCTCCTTGCTCAACACATCATATCGTAAAATAGAATTCAGGACGGAAAAGCCATCATAGCCACCAATCTGAGATTAAAAAAGATATGAACATGAAATAGAGCCAAGATATTGCTACTATATAAATTGCTTTTTTGTGGGTAACGGCGGAATGGCCTTCTACTCCGTAGGGTAATAATCCAATCATTGAAAACGTCACTTCAAATGCATTACTAACATCAACACTGCACAGAAAATAGAAAGATAAAGACACAATGTTCCTCCTCTACCTGTAAACAGTTCTCAAAGTTCGGCGTTCGTCCCATCCTCCAATTAAAAATATGTTTTCATCCTCTCTCACTGACGCTGCGTTTTTCAAACGAAACGGCATTCGTCCTCTTTTCTGGAAACTTTTCCAGTTCACAAACATGTAAGAAAGCAATACCAAAAGCTCGAAAGTGTTCAAATTGATTATTTGATAGTCATTCAAACAATCGAAGCCGTCATATCCGCCTATGATGAGACCAGTTTGTACCTAAGTGTAGTCGACAGAAACAATGTCAAAGCACAGAGCACACGTACGTCCAAGCTCACGAAAGCAGCACAACTATGATTCGTGAGACGAGTAGGAAAACAACTACTCTGCCAAACATTATTATTCTCTTTCAGAACTTCGACACAATTTACATGGATGCCTTCATCGGAGCAACCTAAAAATTGTACAAATTCGAGAGCAATGGGAAGACAGGAAGTGACCACCAAACACAGTTATGCCATTGAAGCATTTGAATACTGATGGGCTTCGTCTTGATTTCAAGAGATTTCCTAAACCTTCATTTACTATGACAAACCGATCTCCCTTAACGGAAATCTAGAAATAAAATATTGCTCGCAGGAAGATTATGACTACTGACACTCAGCTCCTCAAAATTTGATAAACATCCTGATTCTCTCTTCGCTGTACATCCACCAATAATCAATAGCTTACATGTTTGGTCATCAACATTCATTTTACTGTATAATAGAAAAATGGGAAAAAAATGTGTGGAAAAGAGTGTGACAATAAGACAAATGAGTGCGTATGTTGGTAGGAAAGCCAATGTAATATTGATTGGAAATGCTTAAGGATTTGCTGACTTGCTCTTGGAGCATCGGATCAGCTAAAACGTTAATATAATAGGATTAATGGGTTGATATGCATTCTCAAAGATGATCTCAAATGATTATAATATTAAAATATACAAAGCTATATATAGCATTCACAAGCCAATTGTAGAGTTTCTCACTGTGCTCGATACGCAATTTGACGAGCAGTCGCAGTACCGTAATGGTAAAATACGAAATATATTTTGAATAAAAAAGCTTTTAAAAGTGTTCTAATGAAAATAATTATATAGTTAACAACGAGAGTTTTCAGATTGACCAGCACTTGCATAGATAGTAACTCAGGAAAAAAGCGTCGATAGGATAGGGCTCCTCCTGTTTTTGATAAGACAAGTGCAAAACCCTGATTAGTCTTCGTCACTCACAGATTCTATTCTGTGCGAGATGTAGTTTTCACAATCCAACACACGATTCTGCGTTATACAATCTGGAAAGTCAGTAAAATCAATCTTCCGAAAATTCATCTCTAACGCACCCAATACATATTTTTCGTTCACAATAACAGGAGGAGGAGAGTCTCCCCAGCTGAACTCAAACTCAGCTTGCGGAGAGGTCACTACCATGTGACATTCCAAAATAGAGTGAGTTATCTAAAAAACAATAAAATTGTTTCACCGATTTTCTGATCTCACCTTTCCGCCACTCTTCCTTATCAGGTAAGTGAGTTCTTCACAAGGCGGGCTACAGTCCTTCGTCACCAAAACATATCCTAGAGATTCGAACGAAAGCGGATTCGAGGCTCGTTCCTTCAATATTGAAAAAAACGTGTTCGTTTTTGGATCAGAGTATTTCTTACTTCAATAAGGTCATTCCAATTATCATATTCATAGTTGTCGAAAGGCACCAACGAGTCTTTCTCCAAACATGCCTTGAGCTATAAGGAAATTTCTATGAGGATCCATATTAGAACAAACCCATTCTGAATGAACAATGGGAACCAAGTTAACAACTCCTCTCAGCGTCGTCAGAGTCCTACTCCCTGTGGCGCTGATAACACACCTTGTATCTACAAGCAAAATTATTTCGAAAATAAAGAAAACCCAAATCACTTTGTGTTATTTCTGTTTGTATTCTTAATCCCATGACCCTAGCATCCTGTTTCAATAAGGCCTCATCACTTAAACAGTTATTGAAGTCATATCATTAGCACTCACTCACTATTTACGGAAGGAAGTGAAAACTATTCCGAGCTTCTCCTTGTTCTTGACTCGACTCTCTTTTCGACCAACAAACTCATCGGAACTCGGGATACATTGAAGATTGTTTATAACTTTTGATGCCGTTTTCACTATTCGTCGACCTCGAGGAGCTATATAAAGGAACATCAAACGAAAAGAACATCTTATGCTTACGCTCTAGTGAAGGAACACTCGAAGATTGACTATCATTTATGTTCTTCCGGTTATCTATTTTCATATTCCCGAACATTCGTGATAGTTTCATGGACTTGTTAGATCCTCGCCTTCTGTAGGATGCATTTCTCATCAAAGTCTGGACAAATATGTATACTAGCGAAAGAACATAAACAAAGATACCTCACGAATCTCCCTGAGATCTGCTGGAACTGTTTTACGCATATCATTTACACCTACAACCCGACATACTTCTTCCCTCACTTCTTTGTCAGGAGAAGTACCACGCTCTGTTATCTTAGGCAATCGGCCAGTCACAGCATCTGATTCATCTGAAATGAAAATGAGTGAGAAAACAAAAAAATTCAAACTTTTATTAGCTTCCTGATGCAAGTGAGCTATGGATAGAGGTTCGCGATGACTAACTACGAACCCTGCATGAGTTCTTCTTCTGTGAACTACTCTTTTAGAGGCAAGAGACTCAACACAACTTTGAAGAAGAGAATCCCCAATGGGTTTAGAGGGTGGAGGACATTCAGATTTCTTTCGAAACGAGCGATCATTAGTATTTGCTGAAGAGCGAGAAGCAAGTCTGAGAAGATGAAAAATAGAGCTTACATGTGAGTTTATCCAATTTACTCGTCAGTTTTTTGATTTTGACGAGCAGTTGGGTTGCGGTCATCGGTTTGTCAAATGTCATTTCCATGCTCTAAAAATATTTTTCACTGCAATTTTGAAGGATTCTTACAGCAGTTGTGTCAGCTCTGGACTGGACTGTTGATGAACGATCGACATGACTGATGGAGTTCGACAAATAGCTCTCATCAGTTTCATGAGACTCTGCTTGAATGCTCCTACTCAAGTTTATGTTTCGGCTACTGACGCTGGAAACATCTGGATTGTCTCCCTAAAATTGAAAGCGGATTCGTATATAAAGTAGAGAGTCAAACCATTTGAAATGAGAGTGCAGTTGATACCCGGCGCAAGCTCTCAATGAGATATCGTCCTCCATATAAGGAATACATGTTTTCACTAACATACTTCTCCTGTTTGAAACATCTGTGAGAAAAAAGATAAACTGAACAAAGAAGAAACTCTACTCAAAAACCCAGTGAGGATCAACCAGAATAGGTTTCTTCTCCATAGATAATGCGATGTCCAGAGTCTGAAGAAAAATTGAAAAATTTGAATAACTGATGTAAAAACCGTTTTAGAACCACCATCCGCAAATACAATGTGGCTTGTCGTTGAAGTGATTTGCCGAGAGACTACAGCTCCCATTTTTCTTAGCTGACCTTTAAGGTCTGAGGATTGTTCCTCACAAGGCACATCAACGAACACTTTGATTCCTGAACACCAGACTGATGCATTCTATGAAAAGCCACATACCTCCCAAAAAGTCATAAACGTCGGATTCTATGAAATCTTCTTCACAATCACCATCACTATCACTATCATCAAGCAGAGGCTCAATAGCTCTCTCCAGTTTCTTGAAGGCTTCTTCAGAAGATTTGTTAATTTCACTGGGCTTTATAAAGATCAGATTAATCGCTGAAATACTTGCAAGCTTACAGTTTCAATCTGAACATCGTCATTTTCATCATTTTCTTCGTCTTCAGAAGATTCAGAACCAGATGAAATAGACACTGTTGAGTGGCGGAAGCTCATAAGATTCAAAGATCTCTGTTCAAAGACCCTCGAGTATGAACGGCTGAAATCATCTGTTTCCCGGATAAGGACAGGGTCTTCATCAATTCGTGATAGTGAGATATGGCTAGGACTGTGAGATTCTTCTATTGTGATTGGCCATGTATGGTCAGGACTTCTTGTCTGAAGGCTTTCTTCTATAATGGTTCGAGGAATGAAAACTCACAAGGTCAATGATTTCATGTGTTACTTGCAAGGTGCCATTGATTTCATCACTGCTTCCACGAATGGGAGATATGCTCAAATCCGGGAAATTGTTGACTGTTGTCATACCTTGTATATTAAATATATGTTAAATTGGGTTAGGAATCCATAAAGCTGAAGAAATTAATTCAAAAGTTTAATATTCGCGGTATGAAAGAAGTACGCAATCATGCGTCAACCGAAACATCGGAAAGGAATGCAATGCAAGAGTTAACAGAAATTTATTAGCATGGAACATCTATCAATAGTGAATACCTCGGTTGTTTATTTGAGAAAAATTCATAAATTTCGGATTTCTTACGGATCCTACGAAGCAGCTCTAGGTTGATTTGCAACTTCACCCACTCAGTGGAAGTCAGATGCTCGGTGGGCAGAGAGAGAATTTCTTGGAAAAGTGAAGTTTTGTATGAAACCGTCTTGTTAGGTTTGGCAGCAGTTTTTCTCTTGACTGTTTTCGGCTTTGTTTCAATTGAACTCGGTTCTTCAAGTTGTTTGAGGGATTTAACAGCATGACGATTAGTAATAAACTCTTTTTCAACCTGAAATTGGAAAAGGTATCTCGCATGGTAAACGGTTGATTACATATGGCTCTGGTTTCGCGTGCCTACTCAGGATTCGGGAGCGACTAATGTAACATTGGAGGAATTGGGATGGATGAAAGTGATCGTAACAGATATATCTGGAATTTAATTCAATTTAGTTCTCTAAGTGGCTCAGTCGTCTGTCTTACGTGTTCTTTGTATGGATGTCTTTGAGTTTGTGCTGTAGTGCCTCTCTCGTTTGCTCACACTTCGAGCTCAACAATTCAAGCCATTGTTCCCTAATGAACTATCAGAAACTTCTAACAAAAAAGAAAAACCTCTTTGATGGTATCGTAGTGAATATCTGGGCGTAGTAGGAAGGACATCTTCGCCTACACACAAGGCAATAGCGGTACTTGGTTTGTTGTCTCTACAAAAATAGAATCCATGAATTTTGGGAAAAGCGAAAATACCTTTTTTGATTTTCCTCTTGATTGTTCTTCGACTGTCTTCTCTTCATCGTTAATATTCTCTTTATCCTCACAGATCTCCTCAGAGACCAAGGGAGAACCGTTGTCAACTTCTTCTAATTCAATAGAGCCTGATTGCGTATTTTCCATAATTTCAGAAATCCAACCGTGAAGGTTGGGTATTGCGTTAAGAATGAAACCTGCATGTGGCAATGATCCTTGCACGAACGTCAAATGCGTACGGCGTATTCAAATTTTGGGATCAAAAAGTTACAAAAACGCGAAAAAGGATCTCATCGGGATTTTCATGAGAAATTTCGGATTTGCGAGGACAACCAGAAAATGGTTGTGTCATTAGGGTGATGACTGTTAAACAAATGGAAAGATCAGTTAGATTGAGGAGGTTATCCGTTGAATGAACTCAACTTCCCTTTCGACGTCATGCACGACATCCTCTTCCTCGCGACTTCATCGTTAAACAGGTTTAGCTTTCCATGAAAAAAATGAGGAAAATGTTATCTAATTCAGTAGGCAGTTATCCTGTTATGTTACTTATATTCTCTTAGTGTATTGAAGCTGACAAACCGGCTGGCATTAACTATATAAGGAGTGGGTAAAGCAATAAATTTCTTCGCTCCTCAACGTATTCCACAGTGTAGATTTATGATTTCATGAGAGGTAACCTTCATTCTCATTCCATATAATATATCTGTTATCTTCAGCTCCTTGAACTTGTAACTCAGCTTTTCCAACTTGTTTACTCTACGATTCAAACTTTCACATATTTCGTTCACACTCTTCTCCTTTCATAAACAGATGAAAGTTTCAACTAGTGATAAATGCACCCGGAAAGATGAATGTCGGAGGAGGAAGTTCACCAAACTCGATTTCGTCATTTGCTTATATGCTCTCATCACGTGTACTATTATCGTTTCAAGTATTTTAATTATTATTGGGATTGTTATGGATATTCAATTTTTACAAAAATCAATCGATACCGACTTATATGAATTTAAGGTGAGTACATAGGTCATCTTGTATGATAGTCACTATTTCGTCACATTCAGTACTATTCGACAGAAGCATGGAAACACATTGTCCGAGTAGATGCTGAGACTAACTTCAGAATAAAACGATACAGTCCCTATGCGTTAGTTCGACAGTTATTAAGTTGATGATGCTTCCTATTTAAGACATAGGTTCGATCCTGCTCGATTCAGACCTTTAGCTCGGGCTGCTTACATTAACCCCAGAATTCTCAACTCATCTAACAATCGATACAATCGACCTCACAACGATAACAGTGAACAAGTATCATCGTATACGAATTCCAGGGAGTTTACTACTCCCGTCCCATATTCCGCAGAAACCGCAACTTCTAATCCTACTACTCCAATACCAACAGCTAATCAGGCTGATTCGTCTGCTGGACGAGTAACAAGAACAAATCAGCGACCAAAACTTGTTCCTAACCAGAACTGCCCTCGTGGACCTCGTGGACCTCCAGGCCGTCCTGGTCTTGTTGGAGGTTTAATCAAATTACCTCATATTTACTTTATCGCTCTTTAGAGACAGGAGAAAATGGAAGAAACGGTGATGGTGGTATGCCTGGTTTACACATCGCACTCGGAATAGAATGTATTCAATGTCCAATAGGTCCTCCAGGACCACCAGGTTTGATGATATCAGTATTATATTTGAAAATGATATTAGGTCCACCCGGACCAGCTGGTCCTAGCGGAGAAGAAGGGGTATATGATAGTTATGTGGGAAGCTTCGGTGTTCCTGGCCCACCAGGACCACCTGGAGATCCTGGAACACCAGGTAGTTCTTTTTCAACTTGGGCGGGGTTTAAGTTTTCTTAAGGATATCCTGGTCTGCCGGGATTGGATGGTGAACCAGGCGAATCGGCATTACGACAGATTTATCCCGTGCCTCGTGGACCTCCTGGTGTAATAGGGGAACAAGGTATGCAAAATTAACATTCAAGTATTTAAAAGAATGCTGTTCATAGGCTCACCTGGAAAAAATGGCTTGGATGGCCCACCTGGTTTGCCAGGTAGGCCTGGTCCTCGGGGATTCAGGGGTCGTCCTGGCAATCCAGGAGGTCGTGGTCGCAAAGGTCTGCCAGGACGGGTAATTTTTGATTTTCGATGAGAGCTGAATCAATTTTCCTTTGAAGATTGGTGCACCGGGAAAGCACGGGAAGGATGCTTTATACTGCTTATGTCCTAAAACGAAAAACAAACGATAGGAGACGAAGGTGAAGAAAAGAAAAGGATGAAATCTCTAAATTCCATGTCTGCTCGTGCTTAAATTCAATAATTGTCAAAAAAAATAAAAAAATAATTTATTCAGAATGTGTAGAGCATTATAAGAGAGTGTACTGTGTGGTATTGAGTGCACTTTCAGATTTCGAATATGGCAGTAGGCGACGAGCAGAATTCATCCAATTATGAGTCCATATGTGAAGAAATTTCTAAAGTAGGGAGAATGTGACTCTCTTGAGATGAAAAGATTGAATACCAGACGAGTCTCTTTATTACAGATAGGACATGTAACTTTCTCTCGAATTTCCGAAGTATCGAATGCATGGATCGATCTGTTTGAATATTTCCTATTCGATACTCGAAACTTTGAAAAATACTTGGATAAGTTGAAGCTCTTGCGTGATTTAGTGGAGGGGTCTGTCAAAGGTTCACTGTCTTCTTCCTAGAGATGAGAGCTATGAAAGAAGTAAAACGCAAAAGACAAACCATTTCGAAAGTTTTCAACAAAGCCGTTGTAGTTGATGGAGCGACATGATACACACGCTTTCGACAATTACTCCAACTGAAAAAAATAATTGTTATAGATAATTCGATTTGAAAAAATGGAGAGAGAGAAATCCTTCGTCGCTCAATTTAATAAGATAATCGTAATAAAACGACATTAGCTGACCACATAACAACGGCGCTCAGAGAGCATTCACAAGGAAATACTTTTGTTTGTAATTTTTTCTTTACGGCCTTTAAACAAGCAAGGCAACAAGAAAGGGAAGCGGAAATGCAAAACGAAAAAAAGAAAAAAGAATGTGAACCTATTGAAAGCTGGCAGTGATTTAGACATGGTCATGGAGGCGGTGGGGTGCTGGCGGTGAGTGCTGTTAGCCTGCAAAATGAAATGAAGTGATAATATTGTTTTAAATTTTTTTTATCCTCATGACAACATAATTACAAAATATGAGGGGATTGACTATTTTTGTTTTGCTCTTCCTTCACTGAACTTCTCCTTCACCTCTCTCCGCATAACTTCTTTCACCACACGCATCTCATTCTCTTTCCTCATTCTGTTGTCCGTTTTCAGCTACTTCCTCAGTCTCACTCTCTTTCTCTTTCACTAATTCATGCCAGTCTTTTTTGGCTGATACATTCATGAACATTAAAGAGAGGGAAATTCGTTTAAAATTTACAATTCGCCATTGTTCCTCCTGCTCCTGGGCAACAGAGACAAGGCTTCGTCTGTAGACCATAAGTTCGGCAGCTTTTTCATGTCGATGAATTACGAGACGTAATGAGCAAAAATTGTTGAGAGAATATCGAAGAACAGATGCAGCCTGAAAGAAACAATATGAATGCAATTCAAATGAGCACAGATGATAGTATAAATTAGATTGCCACGTGGAGTGAAAAGCTCACGTAAACTTTCACGTCAAGATTTGAACGCGTTGAAATCATTTTACGTCTGCAGAATTTACATAACGGTTGCTTCCAGCTTCAATGGACATACCAAAGGGAGCGGAAAATTTCCTTGTTTGCAAAATAGCCAACAAAAATTCAATCAGTTAGTTTTGTATTTTCGAAAATAGAGTCATATGCAAATTATAGATCAGTAATTGGTCTTAAGACGATTATTGAAATGCAGTAATGTCACTAAGAGTGAATACGTGTGAATATGAAAACAAATTTGATCTCTCGCAATAAAGCTTGAGATAACGCGACGTCATCACAATACCTGCGGACAGGTTTAAGTTTACAACAAAGTTTTGTTTATTTTCTTGCTCTCTCACTCACTCTTCTCGCTCCTGTTGAACTCTGTCAGAGTTCCGAAGATATTTTTGAATGCAAATTACCTGTTCCGTTGTTAAGCCAGCAAAGTTCTTATCATTACAGTACTTTATTTGATCACCCGATTGAAGACGACAATCATTCTATAGAATTTAATTTAAATGAGTGGAAGAGATGAACTCTAACAGACTTCTATATCTCTATGGATGTGATCGATAAAAATGCCTCGGGACCTATTTCCAATAATTCTTATATATGAAGCGATTTTCGAATCCAAAACTATCTGTCATAATGTTTTATTATGATATTAAAAATAGATTTTCAAACTTCAATTTCTTCTCCCGTCGTGTTATGGCTATGAGTGGATGGTTGCACGATATCGTTATAATCCTTAAATAGTCATTGATTGTTCGGAAAAAGACAAAGAAGAAAGTTTTGGTGTCCAAGTGCATTCCCAGCACGCCATTCAAGTAATTTTCAGTATTTTCAAAAGGTTGTTGAAACTCACATGCTGAAGATCATATTGTTCTGAGATCATGACATCATTGGGTAAGGAGACTAACATCTGAAGTAGCAAGTATGAGATGAGAACACTCAAACGGTTAATTAGCGAAACAAGAACGAAACAAAATTGATAATGGCAGATAAAAAAAGAGAAGAACACTTGATGCTCATGTGTTGGTTGGCTGGTTGGCATTCCTCAACATCCGATATTCGAGGTTAGCTGATGAAGAGCTGCTGAATTGAAGTCGATTAAGCATTTAAAGCGGAAGAACTGATTTCTTTTTTTCAGAAATATAAATGAATAAAGAAGATGGTGGAAGCTTTTATCTTCGAAAAAGACAAAATTCCATTATTGCTGATGATCAAACAAGTTTATATAGGAGTGATTTATGACTTCTTCAGGAATGTTTCCTAACGAATTTGAGGGGAGGACAACAAAACAAAATTTATTCTGATCAATGCAAACGAAAAACTTCAGAATAGAGATGGATAGATGACTGAAATTGCGTGATCTCATGGAAATCCTTTCTAAGCTCTCCACATCGTCCTCCTCCTCTCTTCATTGCTTGAGCTATGATGATTAGCAACGTTTGCAAACAAAAGAATGTTTCACTGTTACATTCAGTTTAGAGATTATGATAATCATAGCAAAGCATCAACAAGTAATCAAAAAATGTTTTTCTTTCTCTCCTTTTTTTGGAGTTTTTTTTTCAGTTGGCTAGTACATCAGACCGACTCTCACTCTATCTCCTCCTCTCTGTCTTGAATATCTTTCTGTCTGCTTTTGCTCTCATTCTCTTGTTGCCCTTTATTTTTGTGTTAAAAATAAAAAAACGATTGTTTTCCGACAACATAGTTAAACATTATTTGTGAGAAAGAGCTGTCTCCCCCAAAAACACCAATATGAACGTTCATTATCGTCAAGACTAAGGCTTTCCTTGGCCATTTCGTTCTGGAACTTAACTTGCGTCATTGAGTGAGTCTCTGGCCATAACATGGCCTTCCATAGTGTCATAAGTTGACGTTTAAATAATAATTTAAGCTGTAATTGGTTGACTTAAACGACTACATAACATCCGAATGTTCTTAGAAGGTTTTTTTGTTCTTTGCTTCAACTGTCTTTACCTCCCTTTTTCTCTCCCTCTCTCTCTCTTTCACAGTCTAACGCACTCACACACACACACACACACACACACACACACACAAACACTCCCTGTTCATGTTCCACCTCATATCCAAGAGAAAAATATGATGAATAATAAACAGTAAACCAATATTCTTTAATAATTATTTATTTCTCTCTCGCTTCTCAACACAACCGTTCGGAACGACCGCTCAACAGGGAATGAAAGCGAAGAATGAAAGCAGGGAAGAAGACAAAAGTATTTTTTTTGTCGTCGTCTTCCGTCAATGCAGTGTGCCCAGGAAATTAGAATAAATAAACAAAATATTTTATAGCTGAGATAAGTTTTTTTTCCTTCAGCTGCAAATGGAACATAGGACTGGAAGATAGACATGCAAAAACAGGCGGTTTTAATGAAAACTTCAGCTTTAATCAATGTGCATACGAGAATATTTATTGTTACTAACGGTCTAAGAGTTTAGCTGAAACGAACAAAACTGCAAAGAGTATCATGAATATTTGAAAAGAAAACTTTTTTTTTTGTACCAAAGGCAAGTCAAATGAAATATTCGACAAGTGCACCAGAAGAGTGCTGCGAAAAGGGAGGAGAAGGGAAAAGGGTGGTGGGGGAGATAACCAGCAGGAGGTCGTTAACTAGATGTGAGCACTCGCTTACGCATAAAAACTAAAGTTTCCATTCGACAAAGCAAATTTTATGAAATTAAAAGGGAAGAAATCGTCTGAAAACGTACTCTCATCGGGTGTTCCTTTGCAACTTGGAAAAACGTCTTTGAGTTTCGTTGAGGAATGAGAAGAAGGGGGGGGGGGGGGGGGGGAGAGAGTGAAAGAGAACAGAGGGCTGAGAAGGAAATGTTTTCTTAAAGATTCTGCTTATTAACGTATTATTGTGTAGAAATAATATGGAATGACATGAAGAAAGACATATTTGGAAACCAAAGTTTTCGTTTTTTTCTTTTTCCCATCTCAGAAGTACGAAGCAATTGATGAAAATGTGCTAAAAATTGTATTTTTCTCATATTTTAATAAGTTGGAGGGACAAAAAAAGTGTAAAAGGGAGCAGAATAACGGGCGGGCGAGAATTCATTTGAATAACACAATTTGAAGACGAAGAAAACTGTTTTTTTCTTGCCTTTCTTAGTAATTGCTTCTGAGTGGACATTCAATATGGATCAAAATGCCCAAAGGCAACAAGAGAGCAATGAGCTGTCAACAAATAGCTGATGGAAAAGGAAGCAATTGAAGAAAACAAAGAAGATTCTGAATTTTGTCCTCTTCCTCTTTCGCATTTCAACAGTACGATTTACCGGTGAGAGATCAAGTTGTAACATGCGCGCATCATTCGATGCATTGGAGTTACATATTTCTCTTCAGCTTTCTGGTTAGGATAGACTCTTGACCCATCAAGTGACATTCCTTCATCTGAGACTTTGATAATAAGCTCAGTTTACATATGAATTATTTCTTTTTCCATGAAAACCACAAGAGTCGTCTCAACATCGTTCTCCGTCTTTCTTCGCTTCTCTGTCCTCTAAGAGTGAAAGAGAAGTTAATCAAGCTAGGAGCTTAAGACAAAACAGTTTATTCTTGATAAAAAGGAAGTTATGGAAGTAGAGAGAATGATGAATGCTCAGAAACTATTTGCTTTCTCCCAAAGTAAAGAGAGAGGAAGGGCAGTTCAGTGCTCAGAGGTAGCAACTTGAATTCGAAATCTTGAAGGATGTGGAATGGAATCAGAAGAAGAGAAGATTGAAAGTATAAGAAAAGTAAGACGGAGAAAATTGAGAGTAAGAAGAGAGGTTTTCAGATAAAACAGGAGACGAGAGTGGGACTCAATGGACACTAAAGGCGAACGAACGAAATTGGAGAAATGTCCTCATACTCTATCTCTTTCATTCCCCATCTGAGCCAGAACTATAGATGATTGACAGCTGTGCTATTCCAATTAGCAATGGCAGTTTTAGGTAGAGCGAATGACATGCGAAAGAATAAGAAATGGAAGAGACGAACGAAAAAACCTAATTTTCAAGGTTTTCGCTGGAAGCGCCGGAGTAGATTACCTTATTAGGAGGACACTCGTTGTTCCCAACAGTTTATGAGAACTTTCGAGCTGCATGTCACCTCCAAAAAAAAACAAAACGTCATAACCATGTTTGGAGAATGTCAATAACTCGTTTAAAGTTCAAACTGAGATTCGGCTCATCTCTTTCATCGATCGTCTTGTTTTTAAGTAATTATATGTTTCTTTTTATTAATAATAATGTTGTTATAAGGAACTGTCTAATACGCTGCTAATCCAATTGTCCGGGTTGTTCAATTCTAGTAGTTGACCCGGCTTGACCTAGCAAGGCCAACATCACAAGACCTGTCACGCTTAAAGAATAACTGAAATTTTAATAAACTACCCAACTAATTATAAATAATCGATACATAACAAACTATCTGTTCTACCAAACCATGTGAATAGAATAGCTTTCTCACTCTTCAAAACGTTTCCCGTGATTCCCATTGAAATGCATAAGCTTTATAAGTCAAGCAGCATCTCATCTGCTCTACTTACCGCCGCGAGCGGTCGCGTCGCGTGCGATTGGATTGATGCCAGCAACAGCAGGTTAAATTCGGCTATATTTCTTCATAATATTAAGAATAAATTACTTAAACGATTTGTTTCAGCTTTATGTCACTAGGGCTGATTAAATTTGATATTCTATGTTCTCCTATAAGAAACACAACATTTTCTGAAGCTTATTACAATTTCATTGATTAATTCTTAGTTTGTGGTCGAATCTGAATTCTAAGGATTTCACGAGGTGCTACATGCAACAGTTGAATACCATTCTCCTGTCTCCATATATATACATCATCTACACACACTTGTTTTCTTTTTATTTTGATGATTCAGCTTCTGCTCCCCCAATCTCAACACAAAAACCAAATTGCTTTTTTTAATTATTTGTTTTGTTACCTTTTCATTTTCATTTAAGTCTGTTCACTGGTGAACGTAAGATTTTATTTTCAAATATCTTGCAAAGCTTCTCTTTGATTTCAAAATAAATGAAGCTTGTCGAACACATGTTCAACTTTTTGTGTTACAGGTATGGAACCAGCAGATACAACTCGAACTCCTGCGAATCCATCAACTGCAGCTGCGAGTGAAGAGAAATTGAAATTGGTCAGTTGATGTTACTCTTTTTAAATTATTCAGTTTGTCCTTTTGTGTCTGTTACATATTCTGCTTTTTAAGACAAGTGTTGTCGGTGGAGAAGCTTTGTATTTCACTTGGAAACACAACAGTTCTAATCATGACACCGTTAATGTCATATTCGATATCATTCAGTGAGTTGCACTTGGATCTTCTGAAGCTCGTTGTCCTTTTCAGCCAATGTATGGATAAATTTTCCAATGTAAAAATGGCTTTTGTCTCCTCACAACAACGTTTGGAGAAAGTTAATAGAGAGAATTTGGAAGAAGTCAAAGATATATTAGATACTTTCAACACAGCTGCAGCTACAATGTCTAAACTGGTAATGATACCTATAGCCTTCCTTCTCTCATACAAATTGTCTTCTAGTGGAAGGGAGCTACAAATCCTGAAGCGCCTTCTTGGAGTCAAGACGTTGTAGATGTTCCTCTACTCATCAATATTTGTAGTACCGTTTTCAACAGGTTTCGTGCTATTATCAGTATCATTTTTCTATGTAAAATGTTTTTAGTGCTGTTTCGAGCGTCAAAAGTTTAAACAGTCACTACGCCCCGTTTAGTTCAGAGGTAAGAGAAGCTATAGTCGCGTGATTTTCTGAAACATGTCTTTAGGTTTATGGTGAAACACGCTACGAACAAATGCAGAAGATTATTGAACAACTTAAGTTCAAAGAATCGGATGTTTTTGTGGATTTGGGTTCAGGTGTAGGTCATTTGGTTTTATATGTAGCTGGAGGCACAAGAGTAAGAGAGATGACATATCGTACGAGTTTCAACTGCGTCTTACTATAGGTTCGTAAAGCTGTTGGAATCGAGAAAGCGACAGTTCCAGCAGGATATGCGCAGAAAATGAAGAGCGAATACAAAAGGTTTTTTCTTTATTCTTTGAGCGATGAGGAACTTCTCTTTGTTCAGATGGATGGGATGGTACAAGAAGAAGTCTCGTCAATTTGATTTAATCACTGGTGATTTCTTGGATGCCGAGTATCGCGACCTGATCACTAAAGTTAGTTTGTGAATTCATTCTCTTAGCTCATGTGCTCCTTTCAGGAAGCGACAATCGTATTTATTAACAATTATGCTTTTAATCCTGACTTAGAACAGAGAATCAAAAGAGAGTTATTAGCTGAGATGAAAGACGGTACACGTATCATTTCAACGAAAGCTTATGCTACTGGCACAAAAGAAATCAACGATAGGTTGTTAAGTGGTAAGCGTCCGCGTTTTGGATGTGAAATAGGTTTTTGAATAATAGATGTCGAAGCCCTGCTGGACGTCAGGGAGCTCGAGACTGTTCAATGCCCAACTTCTTGGACAGACAAACACGTTCCATACTTCTTACACACAGTTAATCGAGCTAAGGTAAGGCTTAGTAGAAGCGATGAACGTTCATGGATGTGTGTCTATTACAGCTCGAAGCCTATTTTTATGAAAGAGCAAAGTCTAACTCACATTCTAATGAGCACAGTCGTCGTACATCCATGTCGAGTAAATCTAGTCATAGTAGTAGGGAAGGAAGTCAGATGGTGGTGCGAATGAAGAGTTTTCGTTGAAACTGAAAAAGTTGTTTTCAGATTGACCAAAAGATCAATACTGATGCCGACAATGACTTTGATGATGATAGCGCGTATGTTTCTTTTCATCAAAAGGCCAGACAGTTTTGTTTAGATTCGGACCAACAACGAGACACAAATGGAAGGAATACGTCAATGATTTGGATCGTAAAAAACGTAAAGTCAGTCCAACATCTAGTCCACGATGGAATGAAGCCGATCGGGAATATGTCCCTCCTGGTGCTAAAAAGCCCAAAAAACAATTAGGAATGGTCAAACCTGTGAAAATTCCTTCCAAAAAAGTTCCGACAAAAGTCAAAGTCTTCAAGAAGATCGCTGCTGCCGAACCGAAAGCTGTACAACATCCCAAGAGTCGGTTATCTGAAGATGCTCAAGTAGGAATGGAAGTCATGCACGCCCAAATTGTTAATCAAAAGCCAGTCAAAGTAGAAAATGAAGGTAATTAAGACATTTTCTATGAATTCTAAAGGTTCTTTTATAGCTGGCCTGATCAAAGTCAATTTGAGTGTTCCTCCTGACTCTCCAGCTTTGCCTGATGTCACACCCGGTCCATCTCTTCCAGCAGGAGCAGTAGTTCTTGATCCTGAACACCCACTCGATGAGATGCTCAGTGAGTTTCTTCTTCTGTGAACCTTCGAAATCAATCGTTTAGTTGAACTGAGAAGACTTTATGTCGATTACATGCAACAAATGAACACTGATGAATATAAACGATTACTCACTGAAGCTATTCAAATTCAATCGGTTCGGAATCTGAATAAGTTCTCTCTCATTTCCATTCTTTCAACTTTAGATGCGCCAACATGAACTGATGGACAAAGTAAGAGAGAAAGAATCTCACTTGGAAAACATGTTAACCATGGGAGTCTCGATGTTACGATCTCGCTTAAAAGAATTAGGAATGGCTCATGTTGAAACACCGAGTGAACTCTTACATCAGTGCGTTCTCTGTGTTTTCGTTTCTATGTAATACGACTGCGTTTCAGTTCAAAACGAATAGTTGCCCAACATAAGGAGCTAACCCAGAATGTCTCTAGTCGTGAAGCCGAAGTTGCCTGTTTAGAAGGCAAAACAAGAACTAGCGTTTCTTTCGGAGAACTTTTGTTAGATAAACTAGCCAGTAAGATAGTAGCGTCATGTCATCCATTCTCATGTTTTCTTTTTCAGTGGTTGATGAATGTCCTGAAGGCGAGAAAGATAAATATACTTGGTTCATACAACAGTGCGCAATGGAAGTATGTTTGATTCATAAATATCACTTAATGTTTCTTTCAACCTAGGCTGGTATTCCTTGCCCACGACTCGAACTTGAAACTGATACTACTGAAACTACTACTCATAATGGAACTACTAGAAGAAGACCTCGTCCTCGCCCAGGTCCTGGTAGAAAAGGAAAAACTGATGAAAATAGTGAAGAATTAGAGAGGGAAGTTCAACGAATAGTTGATGCTGTAAGTAAAGAGTCATATGAACATCTTCGTAATACGTTTTCTCAGGCAATGAAAGTTGAGAACGACGTTCGAGAGAAGGAATGTCGTGCTCGTGGCGTCGCTATGAATGAGAAGCCAGCAAGACGTTCTACTGGTAAGCAATTTTAGTATTTCGGAGCTTCAATTAGAATTTCAGGTAGCCAAGGACAATAGTATTGTACGAATGTCGTGAAACAAGTTCACTTTTGAATGCCTTATGTGTCAAATCATTGAATTACCTCTTCTTTTTTTTTTTTTAGAGAAAAGCTCAACTTACTAGGTTCTCAAAGACTTTATATGCTATATAGGTGCTTTAATGACTGTTCTAATTGCCTCCAGTGTTGATATCTCATCTCACGAATCGTGGCACTTCTGACTTTTCCTGAATAATGCGTTCTGTGCCATCATCGTTTGTACATTTTTTTTCTGTTCTATTTTCCATCAGATCTTTCTTGGCGAGTCATCTTTCATCCCGGAATTATATATATCAGTCACCATCATCCTTACTTTATAATTTATATTTATATATATACATATATATATACGTTTCGAGTGAAAGTTGTACATAACATCCTATCCTGCTGTCCTTTTATGTAGAACTTTGTTCATCAAAGACGACAGCAGGAGGACGTATCACATCAGTTTTACTGCTTTTTCAACAACTTTCATTACCCCACCCCTTCCCCACTTTCTTCAACCTTCAAACATTTTATGTTGTCTTATTATTACTACTGCTTTGATCAGCACACTTTTTTTCCCATGCTGCCTTTTCAAAGAATGTCAATATGCTCTTACTCATGAAAACAATATGGAGATATATATATGTGTTTTGTACTTTTCACTACAGCATATACGGTCATCTGTCCGTTGCTTATCTTTTGCCCATTCAATGTGTTATCTAATCTCGCGCTTTTCCTATTTCAGGATGACTTTGTTTTATATTCTAAGTGAGACGAGATTTATTGTTTGATCCAAGTGTCTCCAGAAATCTTATTGTTTGGCTATTTTTGTAAGTTTTCTACCTTTCAATCAATCACCTTCATTCTTTACTTGCAGTTTGTTTGAAACATGTCTGATCGCGCCAAGCCTTCTTCCAGTAAGGGGAAGAGAGAGTTAGTTTGTATTGTATCTTCTCACTTAACGTTTTTTGTTTCAGCTCCTCCCCTTCTGAACCTGAAGTAAAGCGAAAAAAGAAAATGTTGAAATCTGAGGCCACAGGTTCCTTGAGGCATCAAATAGCCCCCTTAGATTCTATTATGGAGGAAATGGAGAAGTACGTTCGTTCTTTATCAACGTTTCTAGTTTCTTTCTTAGGGAAGTTCAACGGAAGAAGGAATTGGCTGCAGCCGCTGCTGCTGAACAGGAGGCTATAGCAAGAGAGGTTGATCCTCGTCCTGAAATCCCTAGGTTAACACGAGATGCGTTAGAGAACATGCCTGTGGATAACACCATGGTCACAAACGTAAATTGATCTCATGTTCACCTCTAATGTTAATCATCCATTTTCAGTTTGTGAAAAGAGAGTGCATAATGTATCAATTGCTGGGTCATAAGATGATGGATGGAAGGCTACAAGCTTATCCCAATTTAGGATATATAAAATCGGATATTGCTGTTTTCCCTTCATACGCTGTCAGTTTCTTTCTTCACATCTTATATCAATGATTGTTTTCAGTATGATAGGATTGGCCCGCAAACACCGCCGCAAGATGATCTGCCTAGTAATGTTCGGAAAGGACCTAAAACTCCGCCTGGCTCTCCAGGCCCACGGACACCTCCATGTTCTCCTCCAGCAAACGAGGATAAGACCGCTATCTTGGCGAACGTTGCTGCCATCACTGGCTCCAATGTAAACCAACTAGAAGCTTACTTCGGATCTGAGTTGAGCGAAGCGTTAGGTTCTATGGAAAAGGTAGGATTGTTTATATGGTGTCCCATCATCTATATTCTTCAGGCAGCACTATTGGAGAAGATCAAGGATGCTCTACTGACATCTGTGAGAGTTAAGAAGGAAGCCAAGGAAGAACAGTCATCTACTCATGCGGAGATACCTAGGTTTTGTTGATTGTTTGATTTTGTATTGTTTGGACATTCAGACGTAACAGAGATAACGCTTCTGTGCAGATGGAACTTGTATCGGACGAGTCATTAAGTCCAGAAAGGCCATACGTAAGTTCACGGTTCAAAACAGAAACATGTTTTCTTTTTGAGTCTCCGATAGTTGCACCCCCGCCACCACCTCCTATCATTGAACCACCTCCAAAACCTCCTACCTTCACTTCTACAGAAAATACGGTGCCTGTTTGGCCTGTCGTATGTTAAATTTGCTTTTCGCTTCTCCTAAACTTATATTTCAGAAAAAAGAGAACGAAAAAAAGATGTCAACGCCTGTTTCTTTGCCAAGACCGGTGCAGCCTACGGTGTCTGTCCCTGTGTCCGTAATAACCGCTCCCCCCCTACCACCTCCGATGCAACCTCCACCGAGAGAGATACTAGGACATCCTTTTATGCAACCACCACCGATGATTCCTCCTCCGATGCCTTTATTTCCTCCACCACCTACTGGACCATCAATGTCTGTTCCACCTCCTCCTATGATTCCTCCTCCGCCATTAACAATGACATCAACTATGCCAGCAACGCCTCCAACAATTTTGGTAACCAAGATTACGATGCCCCCTCCTCCTCCTTCGCCTTCAATAGTGAATACAGCAACAAAACCTCCCCCTGTCCACAACCCGTTACCGAAGTTGGATGTCAAGATCACTCCGTTACATCCGAATGATTCGCATCAACATAATTCTTCAATAGACGTTTCTAAGCCTCCAGCAAACGGAGGAACACCATACAAGAATAACCCTATATCTCAAAACTGTACACCAGTCCAAGGAGGAAACGTGCTCTTGAGAACACCTACATCTACTGGGGCAAATGCTTCTTTCAATTCCAATTCGAACGGTGGCAAGGAAAAGAATGGTCATGAAATCAGCTCACAAACAGTTACGAATGCTCTCTTGTCTGCTCTTGGCATAGGAATGAAACCGCCTGATCCACCACGGTCCAACAATGCTGATAATCGTCAAGCCTCCTTCAATAACTCTGTTTTATCCGATTTCGCCAATCAGTCATGGTCTCAAGAATCGAACGGTCCAATGAAACCTGTGAATCAACCCACTACTCCTGTGAACGGACAGCACGTCCAACACCTCAACTCCATTTCAGGAAGGCCACCTTTTAGAGGAAGAATGCTCACACGTGGTCCTAGTCATCCGCATCGCCCACCTCTCCATGGTGGCATGCCGCCAAGTCCTATGATGGGTCGCGGGCCGTACCCAATCCCTAACGGTCCACCACCGATGGGTCCTCAGGGTTTCAATCGAGGCTCACCTAATAACCGTTTCCGAGGTGGTCAAAGACGGAACGGTTTTGGAGGACGTCCAATCCGACATTCATAATAACATGTTCTGTTGTTAACGGGTTTTATTTAATTTTTTTTATTGTTTTTGGTTTTTTCGCTATTTCTTGCTTCTTCTGGTTCTCACCAAGGTGCATCGTTTTTCGGGGAAACATTTTCTGTATCATGCATATCATGTTTAATTTATTCAACTTTCGAAAACGTTTCAATTTCATCGCAAAAATTTTGAAACTAGCCAGCGCTCGGTTGGAAATCTGTTTTGATTGTATTTTGATAGTTTCATATTTGGTCAACGGGCAATCATCTTCTTTCTTGTTATTATTTAAATCTCTTTATTCATTTTTTATTTTATACCTTCCTCTCTCTCTCTCTTTTTCTCTTTTACACACTCTCTCTCTCTCTATGTCTATTACCTATCTCTCACTCATACACTCTCCTCTTCCTCATTCTCTCTCTCCTCTCTTACTCTTCTCTCTTCCTATTCTCATTTTCTATTTTATAATTGCTGAAAGTCGTCATATCTTGCCATTTGTGTGAATTTCATTCTAGAGTTTCAAATTTCTAATAATATAGCATCAGAGATGTTTCTTAAATATTTCTATCGGTCAACTTGAATCAGCTCATAATTCGTTTAATTCTATTCGAAGGCATTATAGAGCCTCTAAGTGTGTAAGTTTCTTTATTTATATGATTATGTGAAGTATCTAGAGTAGTACCACATTCTTCATCCAGCTCATAGAACTCTCTCTCTCTCTCTCTTCCATTCTCCATCTGTATCATCATCATCACACAGTTTCTTCTCTCTCTCTCTCCTCATCTCTCTCTCTCTCTACATTCTATGAGCCAATAGACGAGGGATATAGCATTCAGATGTCTATATTAGTGTTCTTCTTCTTCACTAAGCTGTAAAATTTTGTGATTTGTGCATTTTTGTTTGTTTATGAACAAGATTCTATGGTTATTTATGATAGTTTTCAAATGTAATTATTATTATTGCTATAATATTATTATTTTTAATTATATTTTATATTATTATTAATCAGTTTGTTCATCATTACTATTACTTCCGAGCAACAATTCTTATGAAGATCTTAATAATAGTTAAATAGTTATTCGAAGACACTAACAAACCTTTTCCGTCATCAAGTTAAGATCTCTTATCGATTCCTTACATGGCAATCGTTCTCTTTCTATATCTCACAAGAGTTAGAGACAACAACAAAAACAAAAAAAACTATTGTCACTATCATTTTGAAACTATTCTCTAATCCGACAACAAACACTTCTGACAGAGAAATGTGCTGATGAAGAATGCATTTCATCTTGCTCTCTCTCTCTCAGAACATCTTTTCAAGACAGTTTCATAGAAATCTTCGATTTAGCTCATAATAACTTCATTCGATATACACACATACAGAATATCAGTGCTTAACAAGTCTCATTCAATCAATATCCATTGAAATCATTCGAGAACTGTTGCTCCATATCACACGTTTATCCGTTTTCTCTATTTGTCTCTCCAGTTATGCTCGTTTCATCGTTATCTCTTACTTTTGCGTACAATTTAATACAAAAGTTTCCTAACGTTTCTTTCTTCAGTGAGACGATCATACTGACTTATCCAAGTATCGAGTAATCCAATTACGTCATTACGTCTATCGGCATGTCCGAACGATGGCACGAAGCTCTGCACAGAGTTCCCGGTAAAAAGCGTGCATGCGACTAGGTACGTTTCTCTTCTTCGCGTATAATGCCTCTTACGATGCAATTTACGATGCTTTTAAAGATATCTCGCCATTGTGCATAATCTATCATGTGATGATCGAATAAACTGTTTTTATTGAGTATATGTGTTTTCTTTTACCCAACCTTCTCATAAACTACATTGAAGAAGTGGAAGACAAGATTGATAGAGGGGAGATGGAAGGTCATGGAACAAGGAAGTCTTCTAGAGATTCCAAGATTGTTTTTATTTTGATCATTTACGAATTTCTGATGTTTCTCCCTAATAGACGTAGGTGTAAATGATATGGAAACAAACAGATTGAAAAACGAGATGAAAGATGATATGAAATCAATTGAACAAAGTGCGCAAAAAGAGGTTTTTGAATATGATTAGCAGCAGGTGAGTATAGTTTCATTCGATTTGAACTTCGTTTTTTAACTATCCAGACACTCTTCGGATGGGAAGTTCTATGAGGAATGAGAAAATACAAAACCTTGATCGTACGAATGCCTCCACTCACACCTTCATTCAAGATGTTGTTGCCGAATTTCCTTTTTTTTCTTTTTTTGGGCGGAGTCAATGTTTCACAGGTTGCTTAAGGTCATCAACATCATATTTAAAGCTGATCTAGCAGTATGAAAACAACACTTCTTTGAGTTCAATCTTCTATCCCATATCATATTCGAATCATGTCAATTCATGTTTGTTTGTTTCAGTATGAGAATCCTGATTGCACTGATCGCTATATGCTGTCTGGCATATGCTGATGGTAGTCTGAAAAGGAAAGTCTCTCTTATTCAATTTTTTGATTTTCAGATAGCTGCACTGGTTGTAAGCTGCCGGACCACTTCTCCATTCCTTCTGCCGGAGAAGTTCTGTTCACGTGAGTGTTTATGTGCGTTACAATGAAAATAGAAAACTTCGAGAATTTTTGAAAAACTTCTGAGCTAACAATGTTCATTTCTCATTCAAATGTATACATGAATAACTTCTGACTAATATTCTCTACAATTCAGAAAGAAAACTGTCGACAAATGTGAAGTTCTTGATGTCACCTGTGAGAAAGTCACCGAGTTCTCTTTAGGGGTTTGTATTTTGACTGATTTATAAGCATAGTAATCTTGAGTCATTAGATTAGATTGGCTGAAAATGAATTCTCAGACAACAACGACAAGCAAGATACCATCAACTGTAGAAATGGGGTAAGTTGAGCAATGTTCGAATGAGGTAAATGAAATGAATTAAGAAATGGTACTACAAGGGCAAGAAGAATCCTGTCACGGAAGTTACATGTCATTACGTTCTGCACTGAACAAGAGAAATGGCTCATAACAACTCGTAACCATAGATTAAGTTATATGAAATGCATCTAATAAGATTGAATATATTCTTCGAAACATTCTTCTGTTCAAAAACACGAGAGAACAACTGTATTCATACAATGTTTGCAAGCATCAAAGAATGGGTTTGATCATACAGAGCTTCAATCTCGTTAACAAGCCACGATAGCTGCTTCTCCACTTCACTCGCATGAGATGATATGTCATAAACAATTTTTCCGGTAATGATTGTCGGTATTCCTAAAAGGAATATACCACCAAAAACTCCAGCTCCAGCTATAGCTATCTTCTGTCCAGTACTGTTCCAGTCGTTCTCCTCTTCGATACATTGGAAGAAAGAGAAATACCCTCTGCTTGCCTGCTCTCCGTTCCAGGCATGCTTATGGGTGCACTGTACTAACTGTGCCACTTTCTGCAGTCTTGCGGGAATTTTGTGTTTTTCAAGATCTTGTTTCAAATTCCAGTTCGATGATTCTGAGCATCTTTCTGAAAATCTCAAAATCTCTTTATTCATTCTTATGTTGCTGCTGTTAGTTCTAATAATAGAAGCATTTGGCTCTGTTTCATATTTGTGATCGATACACTTCGATGTTCCTTGGTCTAGGATACACTGATTACAATCCAGATTGCGAATGTATGGACCGTCTACTAAAGATCGTTTTTCGGTGTTCTAATCCTTACCTAACATAGTGTTCAAAACCGCAACATCATCAATCGAACGTTGTTTGAACTTTGCCGCAATTTTTCTTTTCACCTCGCTGTTAGCTTCATAGATGTATTGAGCTATTATCTTGGAGTATGCAACGTAGTCCATCTTGTTACCTGAAAAAAAATTAATTTGTTTTCATTGAAGAAACGAATAGGCATGGTAGAGAGCTCATGGTGGAGTATTTTGATAAGACTGGAGTAATCGGAAACGATGAACTCGTTATAAATGAAAATTATTTTTATTTTTTGAACGAGTGCTTCGAGTAAAAACGATAAATTCATAGAAATGATAAGAGAAATCGGTGATAACGATGACAAACAATATCTCAAGAACAGGTTAGTCATCGATTTTAAACAGAAAGATAACTTTAGATTGTAAAGAGGAAGCAAGAAACTACTGAAACGGTTAGTCATGCCCGACATATATGATTATCAAAATTATGAGTTATCAGTCTAACGCAACTGACTTTCAATGACTCAATGCAGACTTCGCAGCAACCAGTTCAACAAAGCGTTTCTACGCGTTTCCCGTCGTGGCCTGAAAGTTGTTATTTAACAGTTAAATAAAATATACATATGTTAAAATATAACAAACCTTCTTCTCCAGAATGTCGTTGAGCGTCCCAGTTAACTGGAGAGCCGAAGAGAAAGCCTCCCTGCAGTTCTCCTGACTTTCGTCGGGAAGCCCGAGGCCATAAGAACATGTGAAAGCCTTTGCGGAGTTGACCTCCTTTGTACTATTTCTGTCGCAACTTCAAAGGCTTGTTGGCAGGATCTTGCAGTTTTGTCATTATGTCGACATATATTTATGATTGGAATTCTTAAGCTCGTCATCATCACAACGCTTCCCTAAAATTGAGATGAGTTTATACAGAACTTATTTCTATAACTAAAGATATCCATTAGAAAATATAACAAACCTTCCTTTCCAATACATCGCTAAATGTTACAGTTAGCTGGAGAGCCTAATAATCCTAATCAGCAACGCAGTTCATTAATCTGCATACGTATTCCGTCGTTACCTGAAAGTTGTTATAAAACAGTCTATTTATTTAAAAATATAACAAACCTTCCTTTCCAATACATCGCTAAATGTTACAGTTAACTGGAGAGCCGAGGAGAAAGCCTCTCTACAGTTCTCGTGACTTGCGTCACAGAAAAAAGCAGAGATGAACTTATTTATCTTCTCCAAAGGCTCTCTGATTGACTGAAAAAAAAAGTTAAATTTTGTAGGTTATTCTTACCTTGAAAAGAATGTCAAGGAACTCTTGGCAGGTTGCGCACGACCATCTTCCTTTAGCCAGCAGCTTTCCAGAAACAGTTCTGAAAAGAAAAAATTATCTCTGCCTCCTCATAGTAAGATGAATTTGGTTGAAAAAAATTTTACCTGTCCGAACATATTCCCAATCCATGAGAGCATAAGGCTTGGCGACTGCCATTGACAAATTCTCCAGGATAATTTTTTTTTCAAAACTGTTACTGGAAGAAAGCTAGTTGAAGGTAAGTGGTCGTGTGCCAGTTGCCAGGAATTCTTTGATGTCGTATTCCAGATAAGAACAAGATCCTACAAAATTGAACACTTTTTTTTCTTCAGTTCATCGAGCCTTTGGAGAAGCTGTTGGAGAAGCTGAACAAGTTCATCACGGCTTTTCTTATCATCTATATCCGTTCAGATGTTCAGACAACGTTTATGGCCTCTTCTGCTCGTTCTTGCAAGCTCGTCCTCTGTTGAATATCCCGGATGTTCAAAGTGTCCAGAGATACTACATGACTTTGGTGAAATAAGTGTTTTGCATTTCTTAAGTAATCTAATCAATATCTTTAGTTATAATAATTAGTTATTTCCAAAACCATCTCAATTTCAGGGAGTCGAATTGCTTATGAAAAGCTATAAAATAGCCATGACCAAAGTTTGTAGAAGCAATCCGCAAACTCCCCGATCCTGTCATGATGGGTTGATAGTGGCTGAAAAAATAGTAGAGAACATAAGGCACGTAATATTCCCCGGTGAATATGAAAACTCCAGCCGACGTGTCTTATGTTGCCACGCTCTCGGGGTTTGCCCAGACACGTAAGTTTTTTTTTTAATGTAAAAGAAAGAGATAATTTAATTTTTTTAGCACCGCTACTGGGAAAGTACTAGGCAAGGGGAAATGGTCCTGCGCGAGTTGCCAGGAATTCTTCGAAGGAGTGTTCCGGGTAAGAACAACACTATATCAAATTTAACACTATTTTTTCTTCAGCTAATCAGAGAGCCGTTGGAGAAACTGAACAAGTTTATCCCTGCATTTCTCTGCAACAAAAATCAAGGGATCTACAGGGAAACAATTTCATCAGGACTCCAGTTACTCGGAACATTTAGCGATGTATTGGAATGGAAAGGTTCGTTATATTTTCAGATAATTAGATTGTTAAATAACATTTTTTAGGCCGATCGAAGCGATACGATTCATGATGCAGACGTTACGAATCCTACTTACAAAGTTATGCCGCTTGAAAAAACAAACGCAGAATGATTGTATGTCTATGATAGACTTTTTGGAAACAGTCATAATTGAAATAACAGAAGCAATGTTCCCTAGAGAGAACCAGAATATTCCTCGATCTCTTATGTGCTCTCATGGTCTTCAGCTATGTCTGGAAAAGTTGGTTCATTTGTTTTTTTTTAATCAAAATTTTTTTAAACGTTTCAGAACTTCTAGAGGAGAATAATTGTCCGATGGTAAAAGAACGTGTTCCAGTTGTGATGCCTTCTGTGAAGGTTTAAGGTATGAATAACATCAAACGAAATTCGCAATTATCTCGACTCATTTCTAATCATTTCATATTTTCAGATTTTTTCAGAGCCGTTGGAAAAAATAAACAAAGGTTTTCCGAAAATCCTATGTGAGCGAAGCCTGGACCCATGCCAGGAGGCTTTTAAAACGGCTTTTCAACTTTCCAAAACATTGGACAGCATTTTGAAAGAAAAAGTTAGTTTTATTTATAATAGAATTTTGTTAATTTCTTAAAAAACTCTTTCTAGGGAACTGACGATGCCTGCAAACAGTTGATGTCCTGCGTCTCCGATTGATGGGAGAAAAAAGCCTAATG